GGTTGGCTTTGAACCACATCCTCAGATCTCAGCCTCCAGAATAGCCAGGATTAGAGGCGTGGGCCACTGGCCCCAGCTAGGAGCCCAGTGTTTGTTGAGTGAATTAGTGCAGCAAAGGGAAGGGGAGCACTCGGCAGGCTGGGGGGGGGGTAGGGGGGGAGCCAGGCCATCCTCAGAGAACCCACGGTCCCCTTCCTGCCCTTTGTGGGAGAGACAGGAACAGGACCAGCTCCTCACTGCCCCAGCCTTTAGTCCCTCCAAGCTACGATCTGCCTCCACAAATTACATCACTTCGCCCTGGTCACTCACTGAACCCAATGTCTTCAAGGCTCAGCAAGTTGTAGTTAGTGTCAGGCTTTCCCAGGCCCTTTGCACAAGCTGGGCAAGTGCTCTACTACAACCTCAGCTCCAGCCCCCCACCCCCTTTTAAAAAATCAAGTCTGCCTTGGGAGCCAGGCTGGCATCAAACTCACGACCCTCCTGTCTCTGCATCCCAAAGACTGGGATTACAGGTGTGTGGCTTCACACCTGGCACCTTTCCTTTTGTGTGTGTGTGTGTGTGTGTGTTTTGCCGGTCATGGGGCCTGAACCCTGGGCCTGGGCACTGTCCATCAGCTCTTCAGCTCAAGGCTAGCACTCTACCATGCGAGCCAGAGTGAACTTCCGAGGAATCGAACCCAGGTCTTCATGCATGCAAGGCAAGCACTCTACCACTGAGTAATATTCCACTCTACATGCAGACCACATTGTATTTATCCCTTCATATGTCAGTGGCTGCACGGGTCCGTCCTTCCTTTTGCTTTTTTTCTGGATCACACTGCTGTGAATGTGTATGTATCAGTATCTATTCAAAGCCTTGATCTCCATTCTTTCTTTTTTCCTTCTGGCGTGTATGTGGTGATACTGGGGTTTGAACTCAGTGCTCTAGCTTGCTTTTTGTGCTCACTTGAGCCACAGCTCTACTTCCAGTTTTTTTTGTGGCTAATTAAAGAGTCTCATAGATCTTCCTACCTGGGCTGGTTTGAACCATGATCCTCAGATCTCAGCCTCCTGAGTGACAAAGAATTCAGGCCTAAGCCACCTGCACGGGGCTCCACTCGCATTTTCTTTTTCTTTCTTTCTTGTTTTTTTGGGTCCAGTCGTTGGGCCTGAACTCTGGGCCTGGGTGCTGCCCCTCAGCTCTTCAGCTCAAGGCTAGCGCTCTACCACTTGAGCTACAGCGCCACTACTGGCGGTTTTTTTTTTTTTTTTGCTTATGTGGTGCTGAGGAATCGAACCCAGGGCCTCAGGCATGCAAGGCAAGCGCTCTGCCACTGAGCCACCTTCCCAGCCCCCATCCACTCGCCTTTTCTAAGAACCTCTTCCCTGATCCTGGCAGCCCTGACCTCCAGCAGCCCTGCTCGCCCCCTCTCTTCTCCCCTCCCCTGCCCTGCCATCCAAGCTGAGGACAGCGCTGCCCTTCTCACGGGATGATCACCACGAGATGCTGATGTTGGGACTACATCTCCATTTTACAGATGGGGAAACTGAGGCTCAGAGTGGTCACAGCCACACTGCAGCTCCCCTGGTGATTGTCACCACCCCGGATCACTTGGAGAGGGTTTTCTGTACTTCTTCAGGCCATGGCTGTTTAGAGTGTGGCGGGGGCTGGCTCACTCTCGGGAGCCCCAGGGTATAGGTCAGGTGTGTTCTCCTGCTCCTAACAGGCGAGGGGCTGTGCAGGGCCCATTCTGTTCCTTTTCCAACTTAGACACTGCCAGGCTTTTCAAAGGAAAAAACCTAGCTCCACTCTCTCCCCGCCTTTCAGCAATGCCCCCTGGGACAGGGCCTGGGGAGGGATGGTGGCTGGGTTTCTCTCTGTGCTGCCTTTGTCTCCCCCAACCCCAGGATGGCAGTGCTTTAACTCTGACCCATCCCATCCCCAGACGGTCCTTGTACCTCCATTGTACTAGTTCCTCATCCTCCAGGATGAGCCGCTCTAGGCCCCTCCCTGCCCCCTCCTGCCCCCCCCACCCCAAGCTGGAACAGCTGACATGTGACAGAATAGGAAGCAGTACCTTTAAATCAAATGCATTTGGATGGCGGCAGGGAGGCCTTGGAACACACATTGCTTGTGTGTGGGAGGGCTGGAGACACTGTGGGGAAGAGGGCTGAGATGTCTGTGGGGGCCTGCACCTCACCAGAGAAAGCTCACTGTGAAGGTGTGTGTGTTGAGGCAGAGGGGAGCACTGGCCCCGCAGCGGAAGTTTCCAGAGTGGAGATCAGGTCTGGCTTGCTCAATGCTACATTCCCCGTTCACGGGATCTTAGACCTTCAATAACCCACTGGGGAACGAAATGACTATTGATTAAACAAGATATGCATGTGAGGCTTTTAGCACAGTGCCCAATAGGAAATGGACCTGTAGGAACTGCTCCATAAATATTTGCTGTTATGGCTGGCAGGTGGCAGTGAGAGGCCCCGCAAGTCCGAGGGAGTCCCAGGAAGGGGTTCAGTCAGAAGTCTCCTGGCCTGAGATTCTCCCAGGGCTCCCCAGACGCCCACTCAGCAGCTTCCGGGCCTTGTCTTTTGGGCAAGACACACCCGTCTTTGCCACAGGCCTGCCTAGCTGGTTTCTTGGCACAGCTGACCTTTCCCAGGGGAAATTGAAGGAAAAGGGGAGGAAGTCAGCTCTCTGCAGGAACAGGCAGGCAGACCTAATTCATCAATAACCAAGCTGTCGATTTCCTGCCAACCAGCCTCCTAAACGGTACTGGCTCCCCTTGGGAGGTATTGCTGGGCACCAACGGGACCTTTGGGCCACCTAGCAGGGGCAACCTGGCCACCTCCCCAAGGGAGATGTGGGCTCCAGACAGCCCCGCTCTTTGCCATCTACCTGCAAGGGGTGCTGAGGGTAGGGCTGGAGTCCTAGATCAGCAGACCACTGTCACCATACTACAGCTGGAGGTGGTCATGGCAGCTGGCCCAGACATTGCCGTGTACCGAGGTAGGCCCTGGACACACCACGAAGATGAAGTGCCAGAACAGCACCCCTGGGAAGGCCCAGGGACCTGGTTCCCGCCCCTAAGCTGGGTGCGAATGCGAGGGCTGAGGTGACACAGAGGTGACATCTTCCACAATCCTGCTCATATACCAGGTGGCTTCTAGGACATTCCCTCCTGGTCGGGAGAAAGGGTGAGAACTCACAGCTGTGCAAACCACGGGCCTGATGTATGCCAACGCTTCGCACCCTCTGCCAGCCTTAGCCTGATTCAACTTCCTGGATGCACCGGCAGTGTGAAATACCACGCAGACTGGGGCTGACGAGGCCCCGCCCACAGAAGACACGCCCACCCAATGAGAGGCCCTGCCCACAAAAGACACGCCCACCCACAGGCCACACCCACCACTGCAATATGAACTCCTGTACCAGGCAAACTCAGGCTAGAAGGAAAGGCCCCGCCCACGACCCCGCCCACCAAACGCCCCACCCACCCAAGGCCCCGCCCGCCGCAGGCCACGCCCACCATCTCTCCAGTCATTGGGGGCCCGGGAGGTCCAGCTTTCCCCACCTCCTTTTCCCAATGCCCAAACCAGAGCTGTAGAACTACACACGTGCAGCACACTGCTTTTTCCACTCATCAGGAATCACTCGGAGCCTGCTGTGGAAAGACACCCAGGGCATGTTGTTGCGGCCCGGGTCTGGGTGCGGCTTCTGCCTGTACCTCCGTGGGTCTCAACTGTCCCCTCCGCCTGGGCGGCCCTGGCTGTGGCTTTGACAGTACACATGTGTACAACCCAATGTTAGTTTTCAAGACACATACTATATACGGGGCGCATGCTACACTTCAGCGACGCAAACCCCAGTATGATCCAACAAGGAAGGCGGAGTGGGAATCCACTCAACAGATGGCTCTGGATGAGGTCACCGTCCCCACAGACTGGCCCAGTCAAATCTGCCAAATGAGCAGTGACCTGGAAACAGTTCACCACCCGTTAGACAGTTCCTGACAGTCAGAGGCCGCCGCACCCCCTCGGGGTCCTCCAAACACCCTCTCCAGATCACTGTGGCCAAGGTGAAGTTCAGTCCCCAGGCCTGTGGGGCCAAGGCTGCACCTTCCCAAGCACGCTGGCCCTGGCCCAGTTGAGGCAGGTGAACGGTAGCCTCTAAACTGGGGAGGGTCCTGGCCAGGAAGACCACTTGTTTGGGGCCTTGGGACCCACTATACCGTGATACAATTCATGGAGGGGTTTGGACTCTGTAGTACCAGCTCAGCTCCTGGAGGGTTTGCCATGGGGGCAGGCAGGCAGCCATGCCTACACGGTCAACACCCAATAAAAGCCCCAGACGCTGAGGCTCAGGCAACTGTCCCTGGCTGGGTCTCTCTACACGTCAACCATCACTGCCGCCTGCACACGTCCTCTGTGGGGGACAGCCAGACACTGGTCCCTGGGGTCTCCTGGCCTTCGTCCTGTGGCTTTTGGCCTGCATTCTTTTATTGCTGAGTCTAAGGGCTTTGCTGTGGTTCCCTTTCTAGGGAATCCTTGAGCCAAAAGGTGGACTTGGGGACCCCCAGGCACCAGGGTTGACGGGATCAGTGGGGAGCCTGGACATAATGAGCTTTGGCCACTCTCCAGACCGCCCTGGGGGACACAGGTGCACCATCACCTCCTCCAGTGGGAGTGCCACACAGCGTGTTCACACCGCCCTTGGCCAACACACACAGCCCCTTCAATGTAGCACCAGGCAACATTCCAAGCAGGTAACATCCTTAGAACCAGGCCAGGGGCTAGGCAGTGTCCCAGGTACCTGCTGACATCTCAGGAAGGAGGGAATGTCCTCCATGACACACAATATCCTGGGAGCCAGGTGCTGGCTCAGCCATCAGGCGACATCCAAGGCAGCAGTAGCACCCTCCGCTACCAACCAGGTAACACCCAGGCCCCAGGTGGTGCCCCAGGAAGGGGCTCCCATCCCAGGCATGGGGCACACCCACCCCCAGGCCCAGGCCCGGCCTTACCTGCCGATGACCTCGATGTTGGAGATGGCATAGAAGTACTTGTACAGGTTCTCCCGCTGCACATAGGTGCCGCCGAGGGCAGGGCGCAGCAGGCGCACGCGCAGGTCGGTGAAGGTGAAGAAGTCCTTGAGACCCTTGGCGCTCTCCATGCGTGTGTACAGGTTGTCCATGTTGCGCAGGTCGGGGCCGGCGAAGATGGCGAAGCGGTCCCTCACCTCGAAGCGCACGTGCTTCTCCTTCTTGGAGCCAGCCCAGCGCGAGTACTCCTCAGTGCAGAGCACGCGGTGTGCGCTGGATGAGGACATGTCCCGGGCCCGGCGCGCCGACATGCCGAAGGCCTCCATGCAGTCCTCTGCGTAGAACTGGTAGGGCTGCCACGTGCGCCCGTTGTCCAGAGATTTCTCCAGGACCATGACGGTGGGCCGGCCATACTCGAAGGTCAGCACCACATCGTCCGTGAGCTCCACGCTCTTGTTCCAGGAGAGGGTGATGTTGGCCTCCAGCGGGCTGGGGTAGCGGCTCCAGGTGACGCTCTGCCAGTAGGTGGCCAGGCCCTCCTCCTCCTTGTCCAGCATCAGCCGAGGAGGATGTGCCAGGTCTGGGTTGGAGGCATCACACTCGTTGCTGCACAGGTACGGATTCTCCTGCAGGAGAGGGAGGGGAGGGGTGGGGGCTGGTAGAACTCCTGCCCCTGTGCCCCCAAATCTGCCCTGGGTCACCAAGTCCTGGGTCTAGCCATCAGGAAAAGCCCCATCTCGGGGCCGAGGGGACGGGAGGACAGGGTGGAGAGACCACGGGTGCTGGGAACCTCAAACTGCTCAAAGTAATAAAGGCTATTAAATTGAAAACACAACAAATCTCTGTCACTCACAGCCACACGGCGCCCCGGAGTGCTCAGAGGCCTTTTGATGAATATTTCAGGTTGTCTGTTTTGCTCAGACACAAAATAGCTTGGATCTGAGTTTTTTAAATCCTCTTGCTCTCAAATGAGGCATTTGGCTCCCTGGGGGTGGGGCCGGGGCGGACAGAGCGCCACCCCCAGCAGACACGCTGTGGTCAGTCGCTGGCTTTGATCTTCCATGGCAGAGGAGAGGGCCCTGACCACCCAGGGCCCGACGTGGGGAGGATGCCAGGAGAGCCCTCCTTGCCCAAAATAGCTCTGTCCTTGGTGCCCCTACAGTGCGGGGCCCATTCCACCCGGCCTAGTCCTGCCAACGTTGTGGCACAAGGAATTCAACCCTGGGGTCTCACACCTTACTGAGCAGACTGGAGAAACTGAGGCCCAAGACCAGTAGGAAAGGCCCAGACCTTCTGAGAATGAGAAGTGTTCTGAAGATGAACTGCCTCTTCCCATTTCCCCTCCACTTTCCCTCCTCTTCCCCCTCCACTTCCCCTATTTCCTCTTCCTCTCCCTGCCCCGGCACAGGGGCCCCAGCCTGGCTGGCACTCACGGGAGAGACAGGTGGAGTCCCTTCCTTACACAGCCACTGGTATCTCTGGGGGACTCATCCCCCAGCTTGCACTGTGGTCCAGAACAGAGAGGGGCTACGTGGCTGCGTGCAGAAGCCTGGCCTGGCAGGGAGAGGCTGCGGCGGCTGGCGTGGCCGCTCGGTCTGAGGCTGCACTAGGCCTGCTGCTGCTGCCCGTCGATGATGGAATGCGGGCGTGGGTGCCAGTGGGAGGGGATGGGCAGAGAGGTCGGCAGGCAGACACTCAGAGCCCCTGTGCCCAGACTGGGCTGGGGGACAGTGTCCATCCAGGCCAGGCGCCTCCCTACCCTCTGCTCCTGCTGCCCCGGTGCCTGCTGGGAGCCGAGTTGTGTCCCCCTAACCACCAGTACCTCAGAGGGTGGCCATGTTTGGAGACAGTCTTCAAGACTCGAGAGGTGACTGGGTGGAATGGGGCCCTTGGTGGGCGCACACACTGAGGGCCTCCTCCTCCCCTCCTCCTCTCCCTCCCCTTCTCCTTCTCCCCTAGCTGGCACCACGTGGCATCACGCTGCCTTGCCTGCCTAGAAAGCTCACGCCAGCCCAGTGCTGGCGCAGCCTCCTTCCCCGCTGCCTCATCCCCCTCATACTATCAGCGAAAACACTGATAGTAATCTATCTTGTGTGTGCACGCACGCATCATGCACACCAGTACTGGGGCTTGAACTCAGGGCCTTGCACACTCACTTGGCTTTTTCTGCTCAACCCTGACACTCTGCTACTTGAGCCACATGTCTGCTTCCTGCTTTTTGCTGTTTAGAGATAAGTCTCATGGACTGTGGCTGCCCCTCTTGGCTTTGAACTCTGACCCTCAGATCCCAGCCTCCTGAATAGCCAGGATTACAGGTGTGTGCTGTCAGTGCTGGTCGTTGTATCTCATCTCAAGTATGGGTAGGCATGTGAGTATTAGCCTGCGCCTGCCGTACGTCAGTCCCACCCTCTTGGCGGTCCCTGGGGTGGGGGACGGTGGGGTCCCTCAAGCCCCTAGCTGCTCCTGCCTGAAGACTGGCACAGCTGACCATGTGCCAGCCCAGCCCAACCTGCAGAGCCCCCCGGCTCCCTCCCCGGCCCCCCGGGAGCAGATGGTCAGAAATTAATGAATCAGCCTGTGTAGTTCCCAGCCCCACACCGGCTGCCGCGCAGCTTTGCCAGCGAGCACAGAAAATAAATCCCAAGCTGCGGCCAGCGTGACTCTCTCTCTCTCTCTCCCCGCTGTTTCCTTCTTCCTTCCACCCATCCCCACTCCCAAGCTCTGAGAATCCATTTAACCCTAGGTTCCGGGGAGGGGTCCGTGTGCATCAACAGTCATTCTCTGTGCACAGGCCCAGCCAGTGCACACGCTGCCTTTCTTGCTCTCCTCCACCACGGAAAATTTGAGGACCGTGCTGGGGATGGAACCTGGCTCACCCCAAGCCCCCACAGCCAAGGACAGCATTGGGTGGGGGGGGCAGCCTGCATGTCCACCTCTCCAGGAGACTGGACACTGACCGTGACCGCAGCTGAGGACTTCCAGCCACATTGCCACTTTCAGGATGGCACTTGAGCCTTCTTCTTTTTTGGTCAGCACTGGGCTTAGAGCTCAGGGTCTGGAGCTTGCTCAGCTCACTTGCTCAGCTGGTGTTCTGCCACTTGAGCCACACCTCCAGCCTGGTTGTACCTGGCTAATTGGAGATGGAGTCTTGTGGAGTTTTCTGCCTGGGCTGACCTTGAACTGTGATCCTCCCAGTCTCAGCCGCCTGAGTAGCTAGGATGACAGGTGTAAGCTACCGTGCTTGGCTTCCCACAGGCAATGTTTACTACTCCCCAAAGCAGCCCATTGTCTCTGTAATCATTTCATCAACTGCATACCCTTTCCCCCAAATACCACTGACCACATCAATTCCCAGGGGTCTGTGGAGCCCCAAGGCCTGAGTTAGTCACCTCCCCTCCCCCACCATTTGAATCTGGAGTCATTGAGCCCCTGGCCGCGGGATCTGGAATTCCCTGAATTTCATCTTGGCTCAATCCTTGGAGGCTGGGTGACTTTGAACAAGTCATTTTACTTTTCTGGGCCTCAATTTCCTCCATCCAGCATCAAGGGAACAATGCCTAGATGTCTGCAAATGATGGCTATTGTTTCCACACAGCCACCTTCTGACAGAGACAGAGGCTAACACCAGCAGGCTGGGAGATGGCACCGATGGCAACATCGCAGCACAGGCTGCCCCGGTGACCGCTAGCCTGGGAAAACACAACCATGCTGCTCCCTGAGCACCACTGACAGCCACTGCTCACTGGGCGGCTCCCAGCAGCCCAGGGGGACGGGAAGGCGCGCTGGCTAGAGGCTCTTCAGAGGGGAGAAACTGAGTCGCGCCAGCCTCACATCTCTAGCCAAGACCCTGTGGTGCTCCATGTTGGGGAGCCTTGGGAAACGAAACCCATCCGCTCTGCGCTCTCCGGCCCTGCACACCTCCCTGCCCCCAGGCCAGTCTCTGACCAGACACAAGTGGGAAGCACCAGGAAGGGAAGAGGATTTATGCTGTGCTGTCCAAACTTGGTCTTGTAAATGCTCTTGCTTGTGTGTTTTTCTCTGCGCAGGGGGTATCGTTGGAGTCGAAGGCCAGGCTGTAAACACCACAGACGAGCTCCAGACAAGAACAGTAATTGAATGGGAGAGGAGGCTGTGGGCAGCGGAGGTAATCATGCCGTGGGAAGGCCTGTGGTCCGAGCCCCAGGCCCCTCGGCCAGAGAGCACCTGTGGGGGACTGGAATGGTTATTTAGTCTCAGGAGGAGGAACAGCCTCATACCAGCTAGGCTGGAAGCCCAAGCCTGTAACCCTAGCTGCTTGCGAGGCTGAGAGGTGGGAAATTTAGTTCAAGGCCCAGGAAGGCAAAGCTGGGTCTTTAGTGAATTAGCAAAAAAGCTGGAAGTGGAAGTGGGTGAAAAAGGTGAGCAAAAAAGCTAAGGAAGAGCATACTTGAGGCCGAGTTCAAGCCCTAGTACCAGCAAAGAAAGGAAGGAAGGAAGCAAGCAAGCTCAGACCTGGGTTGGGACAAAAACCTCAGTTGCTGTCTAAGCAGAGGGAGGGAGACAGACAGCTTGCAGCTGGCCAGCTGGGCACCAACGGTGCCTATGATCCTAGCTACTCAGGAAGCTGAGATCTGAGGACTGAGGTTCAAAGCCAGCGAGGGCAGACAAAATGCACCAAACTCTTATCTCCAATTAACTAGTGAAAACTAGAACTGGAAACAGGATCTAGGCTGTGAGAGCTGAGGCTGAACTCAAGGCCCCGTGCCAATACCCCAATACACATGTGCGTGCACACGCACATGTACACACACAGAGCTGGCCAGAGCAAGTACACAGGCTGTGCAATCGGTCACTGGTGGCCAGTGGTCAGCACCAGCCTCCAGCCATGGCTCCCAGCACTGGGAGTCTGGAGGGGTCCCTGTCATCCTGTCATGCTGCCCTAGCCCCCCACCCCCATCCCTTGGGATGACCGAGGAAATCTTGTGGAAGGAGTGGGAGCTCCCCAGACCGGTGACCACAGCTTCCCAAGGTGATTACAAGAGTCACAGGTGTCCTCGGGCCAGCGCTTTGCTTAGTATCTGTACAAGATCTTGCAGAGAGAGCTGGGAAGGTGGCTCAGTGGTAGAGTGCTTGCTTCACATACATGAGGCCCTGGGTTCCATTCCTCAGAACCACATAAGCAGAAAAGGCCAGAAGTGGTGCTGTGGTTCAAGTGGTAGAGCACTAGCCTTGAGCTGAAGAGCCGAGGGACAGCGCCCAGGCCTAGAGTTCAAGCCCCACGACGGACAACAACAAAAAAGCCCCTGCAGAGATAACCTCCCCCAGACCCACGAGTGACCCTGCCACTACTTGCTGGCCCTGAAGATGCAAGCCGTTTCTTTTTTTTGGTGCCTGTACTGGGACTTGAACTCAGATCCTGGGTGCTATCCCTTAATTTATTCAGTCAAGGCTGGCATTTTACCTCTTGAGCTCTACTTCTGGCTTTTTGGTGATTAACTGGAGATAAGAGCCTCTTGGATCTGTCTGTCCAGGATGATTTGGAACCATGATTCTCATATCGCAGCCTCAGGAGGAGCTGGGATTACAGGTATAAGCCAGAGGTGCCTGGCCCTCCATCTACATTTTATAAACCAGGTGAACGCGGGCA